TCGGCACCTGTACAAACAAGGGTAGATCATGGCTTCTTTCAATTCACGATTACTTATGTAAATTCATGTTTTCTTTTCTCTTTGTGGGTGAGGAAAGAGAAACTGAAAGCTGCTGAGACATGTGGGTCACTTTCACTTTATACCTCCCTATACTGATCGATCTGTATTGTACAATATTACCTATAGAAATGGGCCCTGTATCTGTAGTCTGATGTGTATTGTACAATATTACCTATAGAAATGGGCCCTGTATCTGTAGTCTGATCTGTATTGTACATTAATAAATATAGAAATGGGCCTTGTATCTGTAGTCTGATCTGCATTGTACAATATTACCTATAGAAATGGGCCCTGTATCTGTAGTCTGATCGATCTCCATTGTACAATATTACCTATAGAAATGAGCCCTGTATCTGTAGTCTGATCTGTATTGTACATTATTGCATATAGACATGGGCCCTGTATCTGTAGTCTGATCGATCTGCATTGTACATTATTGATCGTAAGATACAAATCTGTCACTGCTTTTCAGCTTCAATATGATTTTTAAACATATAATACATTGAGGAAATGTATTGATTGATATTATTATTTTATATGTTTAAAATCAGATTGGAGCTGAAAACTAACACACCCCCCCGCCCCCCATAAAGGAGAACTATGGGGTTAGTGCTTTTCCCCATAGTTCTCCTCAGGGTAACGGGAGGACACAAACTAGCGTCCTCCCGTCACCCAAAGCTCAGTATATAGGGAGCTGCCGCTCGCGGTATACTGAGACGCCGGAGCGGACCCCGACGTAGATGACGGGATCCGCCCAGCTGCGTGAGTGACAGCTGGCTCTGCCTATCTAGAGGCAGAGCCAGCTGTGGCCGCCCCCTCCCCCGTCCGTTCCGCCAGTCAGCGCTATGAGGATCGGAGGGAGGAATCCATCACCTCCCCTGTCACGGCAGAGAGCCGTGACAGGATCGAGAGGCGAGCGAACGCCGGTATGTGTTCGCTCACATCCCGATCTACTGAGCCGACCTGTGACAGTATAATTGTCACAGGTCGGCTAGAACTATGAGGTGAGTGGAAAGAACCCCCCCCTCCCCCTCATAGTTCTCCTTTAATGAAACTGTATGAATTACAATTATGTAAATAACTAAATGATTTTTGAATGTTTTATATGCATCGGCAACAACTTCAGGGATTTAGAAATCTAACTAGATCTATGTATGAGCGCCACTCTTAAATATTTTAATCAAACAAACCTTTTTTTTAATAATAATACGAACTTTAATAAATTTCTATGATTTTATAAACATTGGAGCCCTCTCTACATATACCCTATCACAATTAATTTTGTAAGTGTTTATCTGATTGAATAATTGGGGTGGTGAGGTCTCAGTTCACCTGGGATGAGCTTTGGGAAGTGCTGTTGTTGGAGCATTTTTTACATCCTTAGTTCTCAACTGGTGGGTGGCGACCCCGTCTTCAGTGGGTCGCCGCATGCCTTCCACTTTTCTAGATGAGAGGCTCCTCCTAGTGCAGCACCATCAGTTCTCGCACCGAGCAGCCATTCAAAATAGCCGAGTGTCGGCTTAGGGCCCCGTTCCCACGGCGCGATATGCAAATCGCGCGTCTGTCGCGCGATTTGCATATTGCGCAAGATTTGCCGCGCGATATCGCGTTCAAGCTTGCATTGAGCAAGCTTGAATCGCGGCTAAATCCGCTCCGAAAAGGGCCCTGCTGTAGCGACCCGCGACAGCAGGACCCTCTGCCCCATTGAAATGCATTGGAGCGCGATATCGCGCGGTAATTTGCCGCGATATCGTGGGAATTACCGCGCCATAAATCGCTCAATGTGAACGGGGCTTTAGGAGGAGTGGGCTGGGGGTATGGATGCAAAGGAGCTCCATCCGTACGTACATTGCTTACCTTGCTTGCTCCCTCACATGTCCTGTAGAGGTGCCTGGACTGGAGTGATGTAACATTCTGGCTCCCGCCACCTCTATAGGGCGCGCGAAAGGAGCTATACAAGCAATGTACATATGGACGGAGCTCTCACAGCAGCCCACACCGGACCCCAGGCTGAGATCCACTCCAGTTCTCGTAAGATAGAGATACTGGGTGGACTGGAAAAAAAATTAAAACATTTTTGAGCACTGAATTTTCATCTTTCCACGTACAGCATTCAACAATCAACAGAAAGATGAGTATCTAGTGTCCTCTACTGCAGGAGTCAAGCTGTCCATTTTTTTTTTTTTTTCTTTACTCCCCCCCTACGCTAGTTTGTGTCCTCCCGTTACCTTAAGGAGAACTATGGGGAAAAACACTGACCCCATAGTTCTCCTTTTAACTTGCCCCTATGTCACTATTGAGCCCTGTAATGATATAGGGGACAGAGGAGGATGCACAGCAAGTGGTGGGGGCTCAGGCCTTTGACACTCATGAAAGTGTTGAATGCTGAATTCTTTGCCAGAGGCTGTACTGCTGAAATACATTATTGTTAATATACAGGATTTATATAGTGCGTACAGTTTGCGCAGCGCTTTACAATATAAGGAAGACATTACAATCACAATACAATTCAAGACAAAATTACAATCTAAAAGGTATCTATCTTCAGATCCCTGCCGGGCTGTTCTGTACATACTTTTTTTTCCTGCCATCTTTAGGATGGTCACATGACATCACAGGCCCTTTCTTAGAAGTGGCAGTGGGGTGTCCTTCCTCCTGGACTGAATGGTGTTTACCTAAATATGTGTGGGTGCTGCTCAGTCTAGGAGTCCTGTGAGCCCAGGCTCTACACTCTCCCGCGAACGTTTCATCTATTTATTTTTTTAATTTACATTATTTTGCTGAAGTTCTGCTATAAGGAAGCTGTAAAATCCTTAGAGTAGAATATTTTATCAATATAACGCCATGAAATCCTCTTGACATATTCACTTTTTTTTTCTTTTTCTACTCCTGCAGATTCTGTATGTTGTGCTTCGAGCAGTGCATGACACAGAGGAGCCCCACGTGCGCGGTGTGCCGCAGCAGGCTCACTCCCGGCATTAAGGCGTATGACTTGGAGAAGCTGATGAGGGAAACACAAGCCTCTTGTAAAGGTTGCAGTTCCAAGGTAATTATTGGGTGGGGGTTCTTGGACCGGTTTCACCGTGCGCAGTGCTTTGCTTCTCGAAGTCTTCCTGATTTTTATGGGTTTGGTTGGACTTTACCCATCCATACACTAGACCAGTGGTGGCGAACCTTGGCACTCCAACTACCAACATGCATCTGCCTCTGGGAGTTATGTCTGTGGCTGTCGGAGTCTTGCAATGCCTCATGGGACTTGTAGTTCCAAAAGAGCTGGAGTGCCAAGGTTCGCCACCACTGCACTAGACTCTAGTGATCTCACTGTGGCAGGAGTGATGTTGATATTTCTTGATTGGCCAGAATTATAATTAAGCTGAGAATGGGGGTGAGGTGCAGCTCTTGCAAATTAGGAATTCTTTTAAAATAGAGATAATTTTTTAGCAGTGGTTACAAAGTGCCTCATGTCAGTAATCTCACCTGATTCCAGAAAATTCATTAAAGGTAACCCAGCAGAACAGCCGGCGACCGACTGCCAGGAGCAGTGCTGGTTTTTGGACAGAAACCTATTCATTAGCATGCACATTGGGGTGCCTGCCTGATGTGATGGTAGCCTCTAATCATGGAGGTCAGCCTCAGCTGTGACTAGTAGGAGCCCTTGTGATTGGATCCCTTTTCTTTGAATGACAATTTCGCTTTCAGTGACATTGTCCACAAAAATGTTCCTCCCTCCACCCTGAGTGGCAGCCACATACCTACCGTGTTTCCCCCAAAATAAGACACTGTCTTATATTTTTTGGGCTCAAAAAAATACACTGGATCTTATTTTCGGGGAAGGTCTTATTTTTTTTTTTTTTTTTTTAATGTAGAACAATCCAAAGTTAATGCAAATCCAAATTAAATCATCCAAAATGGCGAAGTTAGGAATAGGGTGATCAGGGCAATCAGGGGTGCCATACGTTCCCAAGAGCAGTTTGGTAACCAGAATGAGCGAAGCGCGCTATAGAGGAGGCATCGGCTTATGTGGCTCTGCTCCCTCTGGTGCCGCCTCGCTTCCTCTAGCGCTGGCTTCGCTGGTACCACTGATTCTCTCCCGCTGCTCTTCAAGTTCCCCCCTTATGCCACCACCGGCCCTGGGAATGGTCACAACCAGGTCTTATTTTTGGTGTGGGTCTTATATTTGAGCAATTCCCAAAAATGGTACTAAGTAGGGATGCACTGATACCACTTTCGGCCGAGTACCGATACTTTTTTTTCAAGTACTCATCGATACCAATTACCGATTCTTTTTCTTAAAGGGACAGGTCAAATTTGTTCAAATACATCCGGCCATGTTCCCCCAAGATCTTCACTGTGGAGCCCTGATTAGCAGTGGACAGTCTTTGCAGAAAAATATCCCAGCCACGTCCAGCTCTTTTTACATGCTGCTCAGTCCATATATTCCGATGGCTGGAGTAGTTAGTAAAAGTAATCCCAAAAGAGGACTTGGCTGCTGTTACTGACCTTCTGAAAATGCTAGTTGCTTAGCTGTCATGCCAACCCCTCTGGCTTTGAAATAACGGCCCAGGAACAAGTATGCAGATCAGGAATGGTGACCCGCCCTGCTGCATGTTGGGTAAAAGAAAGCTGTTATGAGAGAAATATGAAAGCTACTATTACCTATCTACTCTATGCTCTCTGCCTGAGCTCTCTATCTTCTTTTCATCAACCTTGAGGAAGTTTACGACCTTCCTTATCTGTGGAACTTGGTAGCGAACATGTTACAGACTTGAAATCAGACGTAATTCCCCTCCAGACTTCAGCCGGTTGAGTTCATCAGCATTGAGTGATCTTTTGGTTTCCATTCATGGAGTGCGATTTCCTTTCTCTGATAAAGCGCAGGGATTTCCATCCAGCGAACAAAGGTTTTTGCTGACATACCTGCTTTACTCCACAGATGCTCCTCTACAACATGCGGGCCCACGCTGTAGTCTGCTCTCAGTACCAGAACTATGTTATGGAAGGTATCAAATCAGTGACAAAGGACCAGTCACCGCAGGCCAAGTAAGTGTCCTGCCCGCACATGTCTGTTGCATCCATTGATTGTGTCTGAGGGAAAACGAGTTCCTTTCTTCCACAGGAAGCATTCAGTTTATTCCTTTTAAAGCAGAACCCGGTTTAAATGTACAGATCAAATATGTACAGTATATGTGCATGTTATAACTGCAGAAATATTTGCAGTTCTGTTCAGCCCGTCTTGTGAATTGCGCACACACCCCTTGTTACGCTGCATATACTAGAGGCCTGGGCTTTAAAGTAACCCTGATGTAGGATTAAAGAATATCACATTGTAAACAAAACAGGAATAGAGGGGAACTCATCCAATGGGGACACTTGTTCTTGTGACATGTCCGTCCCTCACTTTTTAGAGATATAAATTAACTTCCTGTGGTGTCTAAATGAAATCTAATGGCAGAAACATACAACTTTTTACACGGCAACATAATCCTTTTAAGAACATAATTACATTCAATAGGCAACCGATCACCACGTCCAATTTGCAAGCTTCAATGACTGTCCAGCACTGCTGGAAGATAGGTGAGCAGTAACAATCTATGGAAGATGAATGCTAAATATTCACATGAGGTTCACATTCTATTGCAATATTTTTATTGTATAATAACAAGAAATTGTAACTACAAATACTATATGAAGAAAGTACACATGAAAACCAGAAAATCTATACCGGGTGACATAAAAATCTCTCCTTCCGAACATAGTTGGTTAAAAGATTATGACGCAAAAAGGCACATGACAATAAAAATGATTAACGCATCAATGTGTCAAGAGTTTTATGTAAAGAAAACATTAAATGGGGATATCCCAGTGAGGCACACCTCGGACCATAGGATATTGCAACATTATGGCCTGATAAGAGAGTGAAGGTAAGAAAATAAAGTTAATTCGGAGAGAGAGAACGAGAGAGGAAAAGTGTAGAAAAAGAGGAATAGCAGCTAGTGGACCATTATGATAGATGGAAGAGATGGCATCAGAGGGGGGGGGGGGGGGGGGTGGCTGTCTTCCAAACCCAAGGGGGAGGATGGGGGTTCATCATAGCTGCTGTAGATGGTCCAAATCCATGTCTGGGTGAACATATGATATCCACGGCTCCGAGGTTCACATTCTGATTGTTTTTCACCATGAGCAGTGTGTATATGTTTTATCCTAAATCCTTGCCCCTTCTTTCTTCTTTCCTCAGAGATGTCCCAAACCGGTTCACCTTCATCTGCCCTTATTGTCAGGAACAGAACCTGGACCAGGAAGGGCTAGTGGATCATTGTAAGAAGTTCCATTTTAGTGACCCCACACCTGTGGTAAGGCCTTGTGTTGTGTTAAGTGTTTAACATTTTGCTTTCTAGTCTGTGGTCCTATTAACACTTTGTTTTATTATCGCTCTCAGGTTTGCCCTATATGTGCCTCCATGCCATGGGGGGACCCTGGCTACAGAAGCGCCAACTTCATGGAGCATATTCACCGTCGCCACAGATTCTCGTATGATACTTTTGTTGTAAGTATGATCACTTGTGTATGTGTTTGCATCACCCGGGACCAGTGGTTTTGTATAACTATAAAGGTAAAAACACACACTCTGAGGGGGATTCTAGAATTCAAAAGGACCTGAACTGCAGAAGCTGTGCACAAAAAAAAGGCATGTGGAGGTCGCAGGACCAGACACCAGTATTGCCTGTGGTCTCCCTGTGGCTGATCTTTTCTCCATTACTGACATACCATGTCTTCTTCTACACTGTCTCTCTTTTGAAGGTGAGCATTTTGGTAAAGGCGGGGCTTTGCTTCCTCATATCAAGACTCCCTCCCTGGTGTTTTGATGGCAGTGGGGTAATGATCAAGCAGCAGGAGAGATGGAGGATGCACAGATCCGCAGAAGCAGGGAGATCCTTGCACTGCAGGTCCTCAGGTACAGCTTCCTCTCCAGCAAGGAGAACAGTGAGCAGCACAGTAGTGACATCATCAAATCTCAATCCAAATCCAGTGAGACTAGTAGTCCGAGGCAGCAGATGCCTTTTTAGATGAGCTCACGTTTCACATGTACAGCTATGTGGTTCAAGACACATGAGTGCACCGCTATATTTCGGGTGGAAAACAAGACAAAAGGTGGTAGAGCTTAGGCACAATTAGCATTCCTAAATGCTACCGTGTTTCCCCGAAAATAAGACACTGTCTTATATTTTTTTTGGCTCAAAAAAAACACACTATGGGGTCTTATTTTCGGGGTAGGTCTTATTTTATTTATTTTTTTAATGTACAACAATCCACACTTATTCATGTACAAAATGATGGTGATCAGGGGTGCCGTACCTTTCCAAGAGCAATTTGCTAACCAATCGCTGGCCAGAATGAGCAAAGCGCCCTTTCACTATGGATTTCCTTACAGGAGGAGTGCATTTGGTATCACTCCGCCTGTGACAGGAGCCGGCTCTATAGAGGAAGCGTCGTCTTATGCGGCTCTGCTCCCTCCGGTGCCGCCTCACTTCCTCTAGCGCTGGCTTCGTTGGCACCGCTGATTCTCTCCCACGGCTCTTCAACTTCCCCCCTTATGCCACCACCGGCCCTGGGAATGGTCACAATTCCAGGCCTGCTCTGTTTCCATTAGGATTATGAAGTGGATGAAGACGCTATGATGCGAGAAGCACTCGTGCGATCATTAAAAGATAACTGACTGTAGCACCACCTGAAGCCAATACAAATGAAGCTGGCTCCACACAACATGCTGGGACATCTCTGCAGATGAATGACATATACGTAACGGCTGCAGCCTTGTGACAAGACTCTCCACTTTATTGCTGATAAAATCTGAAGTAGGGGTTCTCTTCCAGAGTTGTTTGTATCAGGTTAATGTTGCGTGCGTGCGTGTGTGTGTGTGTGTGTGTGTGTGTGTATGGGCCCACCAAAACCTGTTTAATAAGTGAACTTTAAAGTAAATAATAAGTAAATTATCATGATGGCTTAGAATTTTAAAAATCAGCACTTAAAGTTGATCTAAAATCTCCTATAATCTTTAACATGTTATCATCATTTTCAATACTTTTTAAATTTGCAGCTTTAATTAAAATAATATTTGGTGGTGATCCTGCCATGAAAGTTCCTTTTCAGGCATTCTCCTGTTGCAATTTTGTGATGTCACCCTGTCGCATGCTCAGGGCAGCCATCAGGGGGGGTGTACGGCCGATACTCATGTAAGGGGCCTGGGGGGCCCGCCCGGGTCCCTTACATGACCTTAGGCCGACGGTGAAGGGCGAGGAGGCGGAGGCCTGACCTTAGCAGTGCAAGGCCCCAGCATTGCTGCTCCAGCGGCTTTGAGACAAGCTAGGGCCCCATCAGCGACGCTGCTCTTCTGATGTCGGACTGGCCGGAAGTGACGTCACTTCTGGCCGGTCCGGCGGCAGATGAGGCCGTGTGTGCAGGTCAGAGGAGCTAGGAAGGAAGAAAAGGAGGGAGGGATGCAGCCCTGACCAGCCCACCTGAGACCCCTTCAGAGCCCACCATAGACAGTCTCAGATGGGCTGTGCAGCATCTATGGTGGGCTCTGCAGAGTCACTCCCAGGTGGGCCCTGCGTCCAGCGCGTCACTAAGCCCTGCGTCCAGCAGTGCGTGGGGGGTGGGGGCCTGGCCTAAAGCCGTGTAAGGGGCCCCAAAATTTCTGATGGCTGCCCTGCACATGCTCCCCTGGTTGAGACTACACCTGTTGTGCGGGTATGGTCTATCATTGTCACTATCTGTTAACAATTTCAGAACAGTGATGTGCTAGAGTAAGTGCATATAGACAGGAAGTGGCTGGAAGAGTTCAGTTACAGTGAGAATGGAAAAAGAACACAATTTAATGAAAATCAATCAATAAAATAAACGTTTGCAGTATTTTAGCACAGTAAATAATCCAGTTATGGTTTAGATCTACTTTACCTTGTGCTTGCATGATACTTTTCTTATCAACTAACCAATGTAAGAGTAACACTGCAGACCAATCTGGCTAAGGCGATCTTTCTTTACAATGTCACAAGATGCTGCTTAGGGGTGCCTAGTGGTGCATTTTTTGCATTCATCGTTACTCTTACTTTGGATAGTTAATCCCTAGCACAGGTTTCTTTTAATAATCATCCCCTCTAAAAGACAGGAACGTCTGGGGGATGTGCTGCTGGGTCTTCCAAGTCCCTCAGACTGGTAATAAGACGCATGGGGGCATATCAGCCTATCAGTTTGCCCAGCAGGTATATGTCATTTTCCAGTAATATTGGCTGGCATCTGCTAAAGCCAGCCAGGCAGGAGTGCTGAGTCCAAAACACACACACCCTGGAGAGCTAGTATTGATTCATGGTGCTGGTTTTGGAGCAGGTAGGACGGCCAAGGGCCAGTACTTTGTTGAAATGATTTAGACAGGGGCTTTCTTCTTTTTAATATATATTGTTTAACTGGAGAGAATCTATAATATGCAGTTTTTAACACCTGAAGTGTAGAGCTTTGTACATGAGTGCATCTGCCGGCTACAGTCATTGGAGCCGTTTCTTGGCCTAGGTGAACGTGGAGCCTATGACTATCCCAGGATCTAGTGACGTCACCGCTCCAGGGAACTGGTAGACCTCATTCTCCCCAAGTACTGCTACAGTCCTAAGAATGTCTTCCTCTCTTGTGTGCCGCTAACAGGTGCTCTTTATCTGTTTCTGATATCAGGGAAAAGCTGAAGTTACCATCGTGTGTGTCTGTCTGTCTGTGTGTGGGTTTTTATGGATTTAGATGTTTTGGGTTTTATCTGTCACTATAAAGAAAGAGTCCTGTTTTTCATTTTTTTTTTTTGTTAGTCCTTGTCTGTAAAAACCAAATCCTTGGGACTCGTTGTCATTCCTGTATTGTCACAGTTCTACACAACTTGAGGATTCCACTAAAGCTGAACTCTGGGCACAAAAACATTCATTTTTCAATTTATTCCTCAATAGCCACAATGGATATTAATCCACGTTGCTTGCACTTTGCATGGAGCAAATCTGTGGGAGGGGCCCAGCAGGCCCCACCTACTACCGGCTACATGCAGGAAACTACAGGAGGGGGCGGAGACCAGACCAGTCACCCTGCACAAGACAAGAGAGCAGCAGTGCCAGCCTTTATTACAGGAGGGGGCGGAGACAAGACCAGTCCCCCTGCACAAAGAGAGCAGCAGTGAGCTGTCTTTATTACAGGAGGGGCGGAGACAAGACCAGTCCCCCTGCACAAGGAGAGAGAGCAGAAGTGCCGGCCTTTATTACAGGAGGGATGGAGAGCAGACCAGTCCCCCTGCACAAGGAGAGAGGAGGGTGATTGGCCTTGTATCCGCCCCTTACTCTAGTTTTCTGCATATAGCCGGTAGTGAGTGAGGCCTGCTGGGCCAGACCAGCCTTTAGTACAGGAAGCTCACGCTGGATTACTGCACAGATCTGGAATAAATACACAAAGCTCAGCAGAATTCAAGGAAGAATACACACAACACTTGTATTAGGACAACATTTGTTTATCCCCGGAGTTCAGCTTTAGAGTGGATGTGCAGCCGACACTCTTTTTTTTCCCTTAGGGCTTTGAAGATTCTCCTTCATCCAGGTCATAGTTTATCTGTAAACAAAAACCAAGGCAACGATTTATAAAGCTGGTTGGATGATAAGCAAAACGTCTTCAAGAAAAGTACAGCAAGGACAGTTGCCTTGATTTATTTTATTTTTTTAAAGATACTTTTCTTTCTTAGTTTTGGATGGAGTGTGGAAATATTAGGACTGTTTTTGTTATTGTTATCTGGGGGGCTTCATTTAGAGAGATTTACCTTCATTTCCTATCATAGTGACAACAGGAAGTGACCAGAATCTCTCCAGCAGCAACAGAGACAGAAATAAAAATGCTTTTCTTTTAGTAGAGAGAGGCTAACCCCCCACCTAGTTTCAGCCACAGGGCCTGTGTTGGTTGCTTTTGTTTTCGCTGCAATTTTAATGTAACTTCATGATTGCGTTCATAATATTATTATTATTATTATTATGCGAGTGCTCTGCCGTGTTGTAATGGTCATGCTTCAGGTTCCCAATTAGGCCAGGCCGTGTACAGGCTGCTTTAAGTGATACTGCCTGTTTATGTGCGCATGAATCTACAGAACTCACCCGTTTGGTTTCTGCATACTCAGCGCCGGGTCTTCTATAACTGGCCAATAAGCCACATCGCAAACTGGGACTGTTGTGGAGGGCCGAACCAATGGGCTGAACTTCATTCTGCTCAGCCGCACTGCAGTGCACAGCATCGTGCTATCGTGTATGGCCTCACAGTTGATCACTTTGCGGCCCTCTCCGCGGTCCTAGCGACCGATGACTGCGTAGCATCGTTAGTTGCTAGGACACCAGCGGTCCTAGCAACTAACGACTGAAGAGGACCGCAGTCCGGGTATGAACCGATCGCCGGCCCATCCACTGTCAGCCAGCCATAAGCGAGCACAGCGATTGGTCCGCGTGGGCTGGACAGGGACAGACAAAGTGCCGGATATGATCCTCGGGCCATGAAATGCCCAGGTCTGATCTAGATTATTAGATCCGCCTTTGGGTGCCCACACACCTTACGATAATCACGGGAGATCCCGCGATCGTACGATTATCATAAGGTGTGTGGAAGCCGTGCGACCTCTGCTACTGTAAGGTCGCACGGCTTTTATCTTACGAACATGTACGAAAACCTGCCGAGCATCGTACGATGTTCGGCGGGTGCGTAGCATGTTCGCAAGATAAAAGTCGGACAGGCCGGTGAGCGCAAGCGCACACTGCCCGTTCGGCATTGCGGTCATCAGAAGCCCGCCCCTCAGGGGGCTTCGCTTGCGATCATAGCAAGTACGATCTGCCTGTCCAAGATAGGCAGATCGTACGGTTTTTTTTAAGTACCTTACAACCATCGCAAGACAAAAGTCTTGCGATGGTTGTAAGGTGTGTGCCCAGCATTAGAAAGGGATGCTCGTATTTTTAGTTCTTATTGTAATGTTCTCCTTTTAAAGGCCTGTTCACATACAGCACATGAAAAAGTGCAAAGCGATGGTCTGAATAGAGCCTTTAAGGGCATATCAAGGCATACCTTTTTTATTCAAATTAGTTTTAGATGGAGTGAGGAAGGATTAGAACCCCTGTGGGTTTGTTTGTTTATTACTGCTACCCAGGGCTTTGTTAGAGAGATTTACTCTTAGGCCTTATTCACACGACAGTACAGCTCCGTGCAGGGCCGTATCCTGTCTTAGACGCAGACAGGATCCATCCTGTCAGCGTACAAGTACGGACACCCGCACCTGCACGGACGTGCACTTAGGTTGAGCGTAGGGCGGCGTACTCCCATAGAGAAGGACGGGGGCTGCATACTAATCACACGCAGCACCTGTCCTTCCCCGGAGCTGCCCGATGCGGCCGTGCACACAGCACGGAGCTGTACGGCGCCAGCCGATTCTCGTATGAATGAAGCCTTACTTCCTGTCCTGCTGAGGACAGTTTTACCAGACAGGAAGTGAGGGAAAATCTCTGGAGGCAATGCAGAAACAAAAATGCTTAGGGAATGACTAGAACCCTGGTCAGCTTTATGTTTCTGTCTGTCACTCTGTTGCAGATCTTCCCTTATTTCCTGTCTGGTAAAACGGTTGTCACCATAACTGGAAGTGAAGGGAAATCTCTCCGAGTCTCAGATAGCAGTAACAAACTGG